CTGCGAGTCCAGCCGGTTAATATTAAAATATTCGTAACAAAGTTCTAATAATACTCCAGTAGTACGGAAGTCATTTTCAAAGAACGAGTCGTAAAAAAAAATTTTATTACATCCAAATTAATTCCAATTAATATTAACAATCATCTTATAAATATCTAGTGTCCTTATTTTCTTTTACTTTTTACTTTCATTCTTTTCCTCACTCCAATAAACTGTTCTGTATCGTCATCGTCATCGCCACCGCGTTTTTTCCGTTTGCCTAACTTTTTGTTATCTTCGATGTTTTTCATGTCCTAGAATGTTACAATAACATTTATATGTAATTGTCTATGTCTGTTATCAAATCGTACATTGTAAAATTGTTTTTACCATTTTTACTATTCGCTGCGCTTCGCTTACTCTCTCTTGCAGCAACATTACTTCTTCCTCTTCCGTAGGAAATAATGGCAATTTTTTCGATATCAACTGTTCTATTCGTTGATACAATTCCACGTCGTACTGTGTAACAAATGTGATGGAACGGCCTGATCGACCTGCACGTGCAGTTCGACCTACTCTGTGTATATAATCCTTACTGTGTGTAGGGATATCAAAATTGATGACTATATCTACATGTGGAATATCAAGACCTCTACAAGAATAATGCAAAAATGATTAAAAATTTAATTTTAATACAAGACATTTCAATATAATATCTCTTCTGATTCAATTATGAACTAACCTGCTAGCAACATCCGTTGAAATTAAAATAGACCTGTTTTTTGCTTTAAATTTCGTAAGTGCGGCAATTCTCTTATTCTGCGTCATTTGTCCATGCAAAGGAACCGCCGTGAATCCCAAGTTTCGTAACAATAGAGCAGTCCTTACTGTGTTGTTACAGGTTCCGCAAAATATCATGAAACTATTACCCGCCAGTTCATTCAAGATATGTACAAGATATACATCCTGCAACGATCGTTTTATATACAACTATTTTGGTAAATATTTTACAAATATATTATATATGATAATTGATATTTTATTTTACGACTTAATAATTACGTCATTTATATTTCGTACCTTGAATTTCACAGGAATAAATATGTAATATTGTTGCAGTTTTTCTACAGTCTGATATTTGGTGGACACTTCAACTTTTACAGGATTTCGTAAGGATGCACGTTGTAACTTCTGGACTTTCTTAGTCATCGTTGCTGAAAATAATAACGTTCTTCTTTCCCGTGGTATTACTCTGAGAATTTTATCAACCTCTACCTCGAAATCCATGTTCAAGATACGATCTGCCTCGTCCATCACCTTGCGAATAAACAAGTAATAAAAGACTCAGAATTAATGTGATAACTATCAAAATAAATCCGAGTCTGCTATATATAGTTTATATAATTACCAGAAACTTTAATTGTCGTAAATTAAAGCCTTTTGTATTCTCCAAGTGGTCGACTAATCTACCAGGTGTAGCAATGATGATATGAGGTTTTTTCTCCAGTATCATTCCCTGCGCATGCATGTCCATCCCGCCTACTAGCACTACAGTTTTTACGCCAATACTGGAACCTAAAATAATTGTAATGTGAAATAAAACAAAGTATTTAACAGACAAAATGAGCAGTTTTTACCTAATGCATCAAATTGCTCTGAGATTTGAAATGCCAATTCTCTTGTAGGTGTTAGTACCAGTGCAAAGTATCTCTGAGGATTCTCTAATAATGCTTGTAGTATAGGTAATGCAAAAGCAGCAGTTTTTCCCGATCCAGTCTCTGCTAATCCAATCACATCCTTGCCTATCAGTAGAAAATGGTTGTTACTATTTTTTTAGAACTTGATTATAATTAAATCATTGTTTAAATTACCTTGAAGCGTCAAAGGGATAGCTTCTTGTTGAATTCTGGTAGGTTCCTTCCATTTTAAATCTAAACATGTTTTGCAGAGTGTATCCACAAGTCCCTGTAATAATGGTTATTTTTTTGTTAATTGTTTTAAAATGTACTACCAAAAAATTCATAAAAATGTTACAATTTATATTTTTATAAGTTATTTTAATTATATAATATAGCTTAATAGTAAATAAACATTATATGAAATGCATTTCTTTTATGCTAAATATTATTCATACATTTTGCTTGTTCATTATAAAATTTAAAGATTTGTTTGTTATAATGTATTTGATTCATATATACACTTTTTAAAAACTTTTTCAACCATCAGTAATTTTTATAAAATTGACGAATTATGTGCCTGAAGAGGTATCGTATTCCAGAGTGCTTGAATATATATGCTTTTTCTCTATCTCTCTCTTGCTCTCTCCCCACTTTCCTTCTTCCTTCCATATCTCTCTCTATATATCTCTTATTGCTAATTCAATATATTTAAAAAATAATTGTTATTATATATTTCCTCTTTTGCCCTTTCTTTAATTTCTTAATTACTCTGATAAATTAAAAATTCCTAAGACATTAAAATTTATGGTAATAAAATGTAAAAAATTGTTGGTATTCATGAAGTGATATAAAATGACGACACAGTCAAACACATCATTTAATGTGTATGATTGTGTCGACTTGTGCTATAGTTGGAAAGCATACTGTGTTACATATGATTTGTTTGCATTGCGTGCTTCAACGTGCTCTAATAGAACTTACAGTGTCGTCTATGTATGTTGCTAGAAAGTACCTTTTAGAAAGCAGTAATTTAATGTAAATAATCGATTTGTTACTATTCTTACACTTTATAAATATCTTTCTTATAATTTCATAATTATAGAATGCCACAGAAGAGAACTAGGATTCATAACTTGTTTTGGAGAAACAGTATAAACATACATATTATAATTTACTACCTCAATAATCTTTCATACAAATTTTCATAGATACTAACCAGGTACTAACAATGTGCGCAATTTTGAGGTTATAATTGATATCACTGTGTTGAATACTTACCAAATCTTTCCACGTGATTTTTTCGACGTTATTTTCATCTTTAGTATCTTCGACTGATTTTTCTAAATTTTCCATATTTTCATAAATTGAAACTATGTCCAACACAAATAGTTAAATCATAAATTGGCAGCGTTCCAAGATTTCCAAAATCCAGATCACAGTCACGTTTTATAATTTTCCATTTGCTTCCATTTTTCCATTTGCTTCTACTCACTTCCACCGTGTATCTAGCGATTATATCTAGAGTCCTATATATAGAGAGAAGCGACATTGATGTCCGAGTTTCTGATTGGTAGTCTGATATGTATTCTGATTGGATATCCCCTCCTAAAGCCTTGTGTCCACGATGCTAGAAATCGGTCCGAGATCTCGGATGAAGAAAGCATTGACCAATCGCAATGGTCATGTGATCAAATTGTTCAAATGTGATTTGTTAATTTTTTCTCTGTCCGAGATCTCGGACCGATTTCTAGCATCGTGGACAGAAGGCTTAAGTGAAGCATCCATGTTGTGACCGCAGCTGACTACATGTAGAGTCCTAGATTTATCAGAGAGGCGCAACCTGTGTTATGCATTCTGATTCGCTATTGCAATCTAACCAATTGTGTGACTTGGCAGCTATTTATAGTACTAGTGACATATTTCTATTTCATTTTATCCTATACATTCTATCT